AATTGCCATCACCTAACTGAAGTGAAACACAGACTACCAATAATTACCCATTATTGCTCTTCCATGTCAGTGGTGATGAAGCCACAATGTGTAGTCCAAAGGCAAACAAAAGAGACTTCAGGGCCTTCAGGGCCTTGGGACAGTTGGTAAGGGAATCCTCAGCACAGGCAATTTTTTCCTCTATCTTCCCAGTTGTGGACAGCAGCATTGGAAGAAACAGACAGATCTGGTCTATTAAAATGTGGTTCCGTGACTGGTGTCACTCCCACAGCTTGGGGGGTTTTGATAATGGGATGGTCTACACAGCACCAGGCCTGCCGGCGTGGGATGGGGTTCATGACCTAGCAGAGCTCATTGACAGAGCTTTAAATGAGACTTGAAGGGTGGGGGGGATAATATCAGGCTTGTCCGTGACAAGCTGTGGGACAACACACCAAGGTTGGAGGGATGGTGCTAGCGAGGGCCCTCAGCCTGCTGCTCTGTGATGTGCTGGGTACACTGGAGCACACTTAAGTCATATGGAGATAAGCCAGGGGCTCCTGAGGTAATAGGAGCCAAGAAGGGAACACCAGTGAAATACTTCAAAGGAATTAAGGGGTGTTCCTCTAAGAAGGTGACACAGCTGACAGTCCAGTTCCTCTACACCAATGTATGCAGCATGGACAACAAACAGGAGCTGGAAAACACCCTGCTGCTAGAAAGCTACAACCTAGTTGCCATTACTGAAACTTGGTAGGATGAATTCCATGACTCGAGAGTGTCAATAGATGGCTACAGGCTGTTCAGAAGGCACAGGCAAGGAAGGAATGGGCAGAGGGGTTGCCCTCTACATCAAGAAATAGGATAGAGTGTGAACAGCTGTCTCTGAAAAATAGCCACAAGCAGGTTGAAAGCTTATGGGTAAGAATTAGAGACTGAGGCAACAAAGGGAACCCTGTGGTTGGTGTCTAGGCTGCATGATCAGTAGGAGCCTACTGAAAAAGCCTTCTTACTCCAGCTACAGGAGATATCATAAACTAGAAGAGGGTAGATTTAGGCTAGATATAAGGAAGAATTTTTTTACAGTGAGGGTGGTGAAACACTGGAACAGGTTGCCCAGAGAGGTGGTAGATGCCCCATCTCTGGAAATATCCAAGGTCAGGCTGGACTGGGCTCTGAACACCCTGTGATCTAGTTGAAGATGTCCCTGCTCATTGCAGGGGGTGTTGGACTAGATGACCTTGAAAGGTCTCTTCCAACCCAAACTATTCTATGATTATATGATTACAGAGAAAAGAAAGTGCATCCTAACAACTTTTTCCATTTTAGATTCAGAGTGAGAAAAAAGATTATTTTTTTCACATGTGATGCTGTCTTAAGAACATTTATCCAGATAAGAACTATATGATAATAGTTTTAATATATGCTATTATATTATCGTATAGGAAAAAACCCCACACTATTGTTCTCAGTAATCATTTACAAAGTCAAGCACAAAACAGAAACAGCAATGCTTGCTCTTTTGTAGCCTGACTGAACATATAGGGAGCATCCTAACCTATTAAACTGGAAAATAAAAGGATTAAGAAATAAAACACGCAGAATCCATCATTTATTTACTATGACTCGGTTTAAATCAAAGTCAAGTCATTACAGGACCTGCGCTGAAGTGGTTTTCATCAGATAGAACTCAGAAACCTCAGAAGCTTTGCAACGATCTGCGGGACTGCCAGAATGAAAGATACTGGTTTAGATTGAAACATTGCTGTTGTAACTTTTTCAAATCTTTTAATAAAATTAATTTGTTTGTATTTCTTTGAAAGGAGGCTTTATTTCCTGTGTTCTCTTCTTTTGCAATTATATTCTTCAGTGTTTCATTATGTGCCCCCTACGCAAGTATCAGAACTACAAGTGATTCCAGGAGACACAAGCAAACCCAGCACTGAGGGAGCAGCTGCAGAATATTCACAAAAATAATTTCTTTTTGTAGGCCACAGTTCTCTTAATGACTCTCAGTAACACTGTTTGCTATATTACACCACTGACCTACCTTTGTGTTATACCAACTTTCAGCAACATCAAGCTGACAGCATTCAGCAGCACATTAGTTTTAAGTATGCTATTAAATTCCTTTTTGTTGGCCAATTTTTTTATTTTAATAGATTGCATTTTTCAAGCAAAGCAAATTACAACGGGAAGCCCCTCTGCTGTGCAACATGTGACATTTGCATTGTTTGTCACAGCAGCTGAAATGAAAACAAAAAAGTCACAATTTGCTACCCACATGGAGTGTCACAGAGAACAGCCATCCAGAAAGCAGCTCTTCCCCGCTGGAAAGTTTCTAAAGAAGTAATTTGTTTCCCTGTCACCCCTCTTCACTACCAAGCTGCTGCGCTTGCAATTAAAGTAGGTTTGCTTTAGAACAGTAAACAGTTCCCATCCAGTGAACTAGTTATTTCAGTTCGAATCAAACCCTTCCATTTCACCTACAAGCTGATTTGCACAATTAGTAATTTCACTGATCAGAAGCAACATAGTGAAGACCAGGTCGATCAAAAGCTGTGCAAACTCTGGGCAAAGGATAGGGCTAACTCCAACACACTCCAGATATCAAGCCTGGAGAATAACAGAGGACAAGGATTAACATAAACATTGTATTTTCAGTGCAGAGGCTGTAGAGCAGTAACGTCCTGCCTGCAGAGCATGACCAATCCCACCCTGAACAGGACACCCACAATACATCAGACAAAACACATTCTCCAGTGCTGACTTCTACCACCTGCAAAGGGGTCATGGCATGTGTAACCCAGATGAAGTTGTCCAGCTGCAACATGGAAAGGCTACATTTAGGCAGAGAAATCTCATTTCAGGAATCCCCCTAACATATACGAAAACAGAGCCTTGAAGCCTGATAGACATCTGAGTTCACCAGTACCCAGAACACTCCCCAGTCATCTAGAAGACCCATAGAAACACCACATGCAACTGTATTTCGTTTTTTCTAGGACTTTATAATCTGCCAAAACATACACCCAGGCCATTAATCTGCTGTGGAGATAAGGAGATGTTTATTCTAAGAGACATTAAGGTAGCCTCCTCCTCTTTAAATATCTGAAGAAATGTGCCCTGTTCCTCAGCTTGCCAGTATAACCCTTGGCATAAATTAACACAATACAACAGAATAAATTATTTCCCCAGAGGAACCATTCCACTGTCTGCCTGCCTTTACAAGGCAACTGAGGACTATAAATGAAGATGAGACTGCCTGTCACATCATGACCTCCTCTTGGGATGCTTTCATACAAGCAATGGCTCTCGTCACAGCCTCTCTCCCAGTCCTGCCAGCCCTTAGAGGTTTTGGTGCTCTCACAGAGGAAAGCGGGTAGAAGGAAAACACCACCTTTGTGTTCCTACACAAAACGGGACAAGTAACTGGTCAGGGGAAGCCATGTAGAGAAAAAGTTGCAGATCCACATCAAGGCTTATCTGAAACTTCACCAGAAGGGGCTATTCTCCTTTTAAGATCTAACTCACTTTTGATGAGGTCTTTGGCAACCAGGCCATTGTATTGCAAAGGTAAGTCACCTGTAATCATTCTCCTCTTCCTATTCGAGGACTTCTGTGTTCAAAAGGGGGAATTTTACTATCATTTTTCCTTTGACAGTTACTTCTATGTAGGGACTATTAGCAGCTTAATGTCTGAGGTGTGCACTCTGGGGGAGGGAAGCCTCATAAACATTCTTCCAATTCCCCAGCATGTTAAAAGCACTCTGAGGCACAGAGAACAGCAAGGAAGTAGCACGAATGCAAATCACAATTTTCTCTCTTTGAACAGATCATCTATGCATCCCCATGTAGGGAAAATGACCCAGCAGAATCCCATTCTACTCCCTTTCCTCCCTGTTCCTACCTTGAAGTAACAGAAAAGCCATTTTCAGCAAAAATAGATAGCATCACCACAATGCAAACAAATCACCCTGTCAAATCCAAGCAGCAGTGCTGGGCAAAGACAAGAGTGCACTCTCTGTTACTGCACTACCATCCTGCTCAGGGACAACCTCTTCCCAACAAGAACGGCAGCTGCAGGTCCAATTTGGCAAATCTTACTCTTCAGATGTGTTTTCTAACCAGTGAATGGTCCCATTCAGTACGCTTCACAATCCACTGCAAAACAACCTATTTACTGATAGATAATATCAATACTTACACGTTTGGGAGGACTTGAACCCTCTAAGCAAAAGCATAAGGCCCTTTCCATAATCAATGATATATAAATAGGATACTAATAAGCACAGTATCAAGAATAGAACACAAAATGGACACAAAATGCATCAGGTTTGATGTCTTGGATAACTTTAATATTTCACAGCAACTTAAGTCTTTGCACACATACACAGAAGGAGCAACTCTTGAGACTGTGGAGCTGCATTCATAGCTGCATCAATATTTAAGTCAGTTGCTTAGATACCTATGGACTACTGAGGTGAAGACTGTTAAACCAGAACTATTTCCTGTCAGTTCTCTTCATGCTGATGCAAAAGACCTTATCTTGGCATCATCTACTCGCAGGATACTACATCAGCACACCACAGTCACTGTTGGTAGCCAAGGTCACTATTCTGCATTACATTCCTGAGGCTCAAAGACTGACCTGCTCAAATATTAGTGAATACAGTCTCTTGGGGGAGCAAGGGCTGGGCAAAGCTCAGATCTCTGGAAGGTGGCATTTGTTTTGATTGGGGGAGATAACCTTCCACAACAAAACAAGAAAACCCTTCTGCATTTATCTTAGCTGGCTTTTAAATTCCAAGTTTCCCCCAAATCCTCTGTCCCCATCCCAATACTGTATTGAAGCAACGCTCTGGATGCCAAGGGTCCTGAACGCTGGGACAAGGGTAAAACTTTAAAACAGGTGCTTGAATTTGTGTTATGAGCATATTAACTGCAACTTGTAGCTCTAGCTATTTTCTTAGCATGTTAGGTTAAAAAAATCCAGACATAAGAGTCTCAGAGCAGGATGATTAATTCCTCAATACTTTATTAAAGTCTTTAATTTATACATCACCGCTCTGTCAGCTTGTCACTAGACCATGTAAAACATCAGAAAAGAGGGAAACGTTGACTAGAAGTGTGATAGACTCTCTGAACAACATTAACGAAGAGTTCTACTATACAATGCAATCAGAATAAAATAACAGCCAACCTCTATGGGTTGTTAAAACGAGATGAGAGCATCCTTCCAGTACAGATGTTTTATTCACAGCACTTCTTTATGCACAGACATCCACAAAAGGGACTGACCAAGGAGTGAAAAAAGGTGAAGAGCTCCAAAGTCCAGGAAAGTTCAAAAAGTATTAGTTTGCATACAAAACCTCAGTTAGTTCCAGAAGTTCAAGTGCAAGTGGACTTCTGACTAATATTAACCACAAACACCACAGTTTACCACTGAAACATTTTAATTGTTTAAATCGCTCTCTTCCAAGCATGAAGAGAGAGAAGTACCACTCCACAGTCCTATCTCCTATGACAGTGACAAAGGACCACTTGCTTACAACTTAAATAATAAATTCCCATTTTGTATAACTGAGGCTGAATACCCACAGGATATTATTAACATTTGCCCTCCAGCATCTGGTCTAATAAAGAAACACAGAACAGCTTTGCTGTAGTACAAAAGTTTACAGAAAGTTTGACAATTTTAACGACAATACAAAATATGTTGTCGGAATTCAAATAATTTAGGTAAAAGTATATGAATGAGAAAATATTGGCAAAAAGATTTGGGTAACTGTATTATCAGATGCATGTTCTTTGTCCTAGAGATAACATACAGTCAAAAATACATTTATATTTTAAATTACAATAAAAGACAGCATTTTAAAATAAACACAATTTCAGGTCTACCAGCCCTTCAATGAGAATAATTCCTATTAACACAGAACAAACTGATAGAATAAAGAAAAGGAGCAATACTGAAGTCTCTGAATAAGCCTGTAGTGTTTGTTTTTCCTTTTATTGAGGAGGGAGAAGACAAAAGAAAACAAAAACGAGTGTTTCGTTAGTGCTCTCTCCTCAGTGTTTTAAAAAGTGTTTAAAAAGTATTTTAAAAAGCAATCAGAGCATCAGGGATTACTTTCATCCATATACCCCAGAAAATCCTACCCTCCTTGAAAGGAGACAGGGCACAGATCTTCCCTGCCACACAAAGCAGTACCACATCCACACAAGAGTGGACCCTGCAGGCGAAGCAAGCTAGCCCTACTGTACTCAGGGTGGCAGCTTGACCCCAACAAGCACTTTCTCTCAGCATCCAGGTCCACTATTCCTCTCAAATCACTAATTATTTCTTCACATTTGTCAAATACCGAACCCCCGGAAGTCACCATTTAGATTATGGTATCAGACAACAGCCTGAAACACCCAAGATTTCTTACCATGTGTCACTTGCCCTCAACATTTTTGTGGTCAGCTAAATATTTTAACAAGACAACATGATTAATTTCTTTGAAGATATTTTAGTTCATTAATTCTCGATAAAAGCATTGGTTGCAGTACAATAGTTTGACATACAGAAACAAAACGTACTCAATTTACATGCACAAGCTATTTAACAACAGTACATGGTCTTTCCTATTGCCATTATAAAATGAATACTACTATGACAGATGACACAGCCGTCCAATTGTTCTCATAAGCTAAAAAGTGATGAAAACAGTGTTCCAGTTGGTATGATAGCAAAGAACAGAGGTTTGGCCACTTCTTCCAATGAAGATGCCAGTATCATAAAGGGAAACAGTGTTGGAATTACTGTAAAAACAGCTACAAAAAAAAGCTATGCAAAACTGTTTTGATGTGTGCTTCAGTTTAAAAAAAAAACAAAACCAAAACCAACACACATGAAATATTTACAGCTTTGTATAGAAACATACCAGAAACAAAAGTAGTGCAGAGGAAGAAAAGTTAAGAGTTTAAGGCAAGACAAATGTGTGGATGGCTAAAAAAAGACCTGTCACTGAAGTACTGTAAACCAGCAGCAATCTGTTGGGGAAAGAGTGCATAATTTTCTAGCAGGATTGGGTTTTGTGTTTCATTGGTTTGGGGTTTTTTTTTGTGGTTGGAGGGTTTTTCTGTTGGTTGTTTTTTCTTTTTTTTATAAAGCTTCCAACTTTGAAAATGCAAGCCAAAACACCCCTGCATTTGTGTTCTATGCCTGGCTGAGATCTCTTTCAGTTTTACAGTTTGGTCCAGATTCTCATGGTTTAATGTACAATGTACAGTACATGCTACTAGGACTACTCACAGCAAGTTTTTAAAGTCTGCTTTTTAAAAACCAGATACAACACTGTCATTTTCATTAAAGGTTGATGTCAAGATTCAGTACTGCTGTTAAAGGGCTCCTAGCAACGAGAACAGAGAAGTCAGATTTATGACCATGAGATAAGCAATGACCTCTGTAAGATGTATATCTTACAGTAAGACTTTTCCTACAGCAAATAAGTGTCATCAGGGAATTTTTCTTTTTTTATTTTTTTTTCAAATATTTCTTTCTAGGTTTCAGAAGTGCTAACAATTCCAGCTATAAAAACTTTAAAGTGCACTGGCTGTGCCTCTCTTCTTAGCATCTTTTCCAAATTGTATTCAAACAGGTTAGAAACTCTCTCCTCTAATCGACAGTTACCAGTTTAGCATTATGCTACTGGCAAGTGAGATCCCGAAATATGAATATTCAATAGTTGTAATTAAATTTATTCATGACCATATAAAAAAAGCACAGTTACATATGACTGAACTGCCAGATCTATAATACAGCAAGACTGCCAAAATAAAAGGCAGAAAAGGAAAAAGGCCGCAAGTCTCTTTTTTTGTTGTTTAACTAATTGTCTCACAGGAAAGAAAAAAAAAAAAGTAGCAAGTCTTAAACTTAAATACAAAATTATAATCTGCAAATCAGGTCCTCTAATCCAGACTGGTGGTACACTTTATTTCAGCTGAACCACCCATTACAACCTTGCAATGCAAATTTATTTACAACTCACTCATACCCTGGCCTTGTCCACCCAATCAACTATTCACACTTTACTTTAGGAAGAACAATTAAAAAAAAAAAAAAAGTTGTTTGTGGTTTTGAAACAGTTGGTCTGAATTCTTTAATACCACACTCAAAACTCAGGAACACAAATTTAAGGATATCTCAAACTCAATTCTCAAGATACTGTTTACAGAAGAAAAAAAGAGGCATGAATATGGAAGTACAGAAGGTGTTAAAACACACTAAAAATGGACCTGGTAAAGAGCCTACACTGGAAACACTTACCTTGTCAAAGCATTAAAATGATAATCTCAGAAGACAATTCAGAGACACTTAGTCAGAATTATGAAAAAATGCAAACTAGACTGTTGTAGATCACCAAAATATCTAATCCAAAGGCAGTGCAAAATGATGGCTGGTGAGGGGGCAACCAGTTGTGGCAGGTGCACCCACCCAGTGAAAACAGGGCTTCCTGGCCGCTGAAATGTAGCAGCCACTGATTTCTCTTTTTGTGCCCTTGTTCTCAGGGCTTTATGGTAATTGGGGCCCTCAGCCAGTAAGGGCTGACATTGACCACAGATCAGACTTGGCTCAGGTATAAACGGAGTCCCCTGGGGAGCCATTTTGAGCTAGTCCCTCCTGGATCATTGCACTGTGGTCAAGGATTCTCCCCTTGGGTCAGAACGCTGCCCAAAGAAATTCCCTGAGGTTGAAAGCCCTCATTTTCTAGGTGAGTGACCAAGCATTTTGGATTGTCGTTAAATCCTAGAAGTCTGCGTGGTGATAGTTTTTGTTCTCCTCTCACAGACACATGAACCTGCTGTTTGTTTGCAGAGTGCTGGTCAATTGTGTTGAAATTTTATTTTGTTTGTTATTTATTCATTTTGAGAGCCTCCACAAAACCAGTCATCTTGCAAAGCGAGTGACTTCAAATTACTCATCACTGACCTTCTCAATAATCTGCATTGAAGGACCTGATGGACAGCAGTGAAATTTTTGTCATGCAATTAACTGTTAAGCAACCAATATGCAACTCGAGTGATACTGTCATCCATAGTGGATTATTACAGTAAAAATCCATTAAAGAATAAGATCAAAGGGGAAAGTGGTAAACATCAGTTGCCGTAAGTGAAAACACTTCAAAAATTTACAATTAAAAGTTAAATGATATCTTATAAAAAGAAGTACTGAACACAAAGCCACAATAAATTAGTGTTTCCATAAAACGACATGCTGAAGGTTTTGTTCCCAAGTCTATACATTTTTTACTGTCTGTTAATTCCTAAATATTGACAGCATAATTGAATAATTGAGGTACAGTAGTTTACATTTGTATATGTCTTGTAAAAAGGTTAATTTTTTTCTTCCAGTTTTTCTTCCTCATCACCAAAGAACAACAAAGGAAACATTCCTAAAATGCAGCCAATGGTCACTCCAATAGCTTTACCCTAGAAAAAGGAGGAAAAAATTAAGTTTCTCATTGATCAGTTGTTAACCATTTGCTGTGGAGTACCAACACAACCAGGAAAACAGACCCTTTGTTCTAATTTTTGGTTGGGAGCCACATTTTTCTTAGCATGCAGACTAGAAACAAAATCTATGAGAGACACACAGATATGACAAGGTTAGAAACAGCACATGCTGTGATAAGAGACATATAAAGACAAAAATTTTGAATAAAGAAGGGAATGACCCAGAAGGAGATGCACAGGTGGAAGGGAGGAGACAGATTCAAAAGGATTAGAAGGATGGTCAGGATGACAAGGAAGGAAAAAAAAACCACCACACACCACCCACCCACATTTTGGGTGCAACTATAAATGTATCTGCATTTGATAATGCAAATTATCAAAGTCAGGAACAAGGAATTTCTTGGAAACATGATGGCTTGTAAAGACACAAGGCAAAGACTTAAAAAAAAAAAAAAAAAGATTAGAAAACATTTCACAATTGACTTAGATGTGAAAGTCAAGAGGAGAGAAAGAACTAACACAGGCAACATCCAAACCACATCACCAGCTGTAGGTGGATAGTGTTGAGAAACTTGAGACAGTGGGTAAAAAAGAAAAAATGCTAGCATACAAGTGAAGATGCTCAGAAGTGCTTTCACAGAAAAGTGAATGAACTGCAGTGGAATGACAGGCTTTTGCCACAGACTCAGCTTCCACCAAGATGACTTACATCAGACAGACTAGAGGGCAGCCCACTGACAACATGCCAATTCTTTCCCACTCAATGCTTTGACCTATCACTGCTAAAAGCAGACTTTTTCCCCCCCCAACTTTGTTTCAGCAAGTGTTCTTCTCCCCTTAAATCTACAAAGATACTTCTCCCCATGAAGGTTCATTCTAGGAAAGTGAAAGAAATATCCGTTTCTTTACTCAGTTTCTTATAATATTTCTTTAATCAAAATAAACTAACACTCTCATTGCTAAGTGGGATTGCTTCAGATGTTTAAATGTTAATTAAGTAATCATCCTGAAAATTAATCTGCAAGGTGAGTGTCCCGTAACTGTAAATGCAGACAGTGAATATTACTCAAAAGTTAAGATTACCCAGGGGAAAGCTAATTTCACATCGAAGCTAATTTAGAATATTAGAAATGAATACATGCTAGCACAGGTATATGAATAGCAAGAAATTCACAAATAGAGTATAGGAGTAAACCACTAAGAGGTCATAACTTTCAAATAAGCTATCTTATCACAGTAGCCAGAGTTCAACCCAGGTATCTGCATACAATACATAAAGTCACTGCTGAGACATCCATGTTACTAGTCATTCAAACCACCCAAGGCCAAAACAATCCAGTCTCATGATGCTCCCTGACATAGGCTCACAACTAAATCTTCCAGGAAATGGCCAAAATGTTGGTGGCTATTAAGTATTTAATGGCAAAAGCGGCAAAAAGGGTTTATCATGTATTGCTTTAAACAAAAAAGGCTCCATGCAAACAGTGCCGACCTACAGTATACTCACCAAGTGTGCACTGAGACGTGTTTGCCACATATCAGCTTGTTTGGGTGTCAGATCAGGGATTGACAGACCCAGCCGTGAAGCTAAAGCTTCTACATAACCTGCAAGACTAAGAACAAGAAAACAAGTACAAATGATTTTGGATCTGACAGTATCGTCTAATACAGATTTTGAAATATCTGAAGTGCTTAACTTAAAATTAATAGCTTCCCCTTCAGCTTACTGGTAAAGCCACTGAGAGGTAAATATGGGAAAGCATTCAGACTTCTGATGGTCACATTTTGCAATGTAAGGTAACTAATCTTCTCACTGAATGAATAGGCAATATTTCCAGAAAAAAAATAGCAGTGAGACACAACTGTTGTGTCCATTACTGCATTTCTGCAGAGCTTGTAAGTAACCTTTACTGGAGGGAAGGTTACACACACACACGAGTTAGTAATAAGCCTTGTTATCCGCAGAAGAAAAGAATTAGAGGGAAGGTGGGAATAAAAGAGGCATAACAGACAGCTTTATTTTCAGCTATTAGTCAGAAATTTTCTTTTAAAAAATAGTCAGGTGTATCTATTTATATCAGAAATAGGTATGCCTAGATCTGAAGACATTACAGATACAGAATTGTTTTATCTGAGAAGGAAATGTCTTCACATCTAGGCATAACAACCTGAGGAGGTATATTAGGTATATTCTAACACAGCAATATAGTACATCACGAAAAATGTATTTTTCCATTTTGTATTTTAATGAACACACTTTTTGTAGAAAAAGTTCTAATACTTCCTTAAAATCAAGCATTACTTACAGAAGTACACTGAATCAGGTTAAATGCCAACCCCAATTTTATCACTTAAAATACATAATACTGTAATAGCAGGAGTGTTATTCTGCCTCAGAACTACGGCACTGCAGTTTTAACCTCAACAAAAATCACCTAATAGTTCAACTTTTCTTATGAAGGACAGAATACATTTCTACAGTCATGTAGCTTACTGAAGCAAAACTCAGCTAGGAAAAAAAATAAAACTATTTCAGCAGTTTATATATTTTAGTTCAGTAGCACCAACAGTGTTTGCAAGAGAGAAAAAAAAAAACATATACTCAACACAAATTCAGACATACCCCAGTCCGGCTAAATCTGAAACAAGGTTTCCCAAAGCTGCAGCTGGAGGGAGGAATAAGGAAGAGAATGGGAGAAGGCAAAATATTATTTTAATTACAAACAAAATGGGAGAAGGCAAAGTATTATTTTAATTACAAACAAAACCAAACAGTTCCTCTCTCTTTTCTCAGTACTTATAGCACTAGAAGTAAGCTTCTTTTAGAGTTTTTCTTCTGACCTTTTCTTCTGCAGTTTGTAATAATAGCAGCAGACTAACAATAATAGAAGAAAACTTGAGAAATATCAAAAAGACAACACTGACGCCTGGAAATCAATGTAACAACTTTTCAGATCAGAGTTAAATATGGCCACACGCAGTTGTCAGTTTTATACAGCTAAAGCTGGACACCAAGCAAGGCTTTCCAGTGCCTGAAGAGGCACAGGAGCAATGGAAACCAGAGGAGCTGTTACACTCGTATGTAGCTTTGATAAACCTTCCAACATATCCATGAACTGTGTCAGTTTAGGAATAAATACTGTACATATGATTAAATAAAGTTACATGATTTCACAGCAGATCTTACCGAGATAAGCTTGCATGTGACTGTCTTGCATTGCAACAGAGGGCTACAAATTTCCAAATTAACTTGTTCTGCTGTATACATTTTCATTTAAGCTCTCTGCACGCTTTCGAACAATGCTGCACCTGCAGTTGGTGCACCCATGAGCAGGCTTTTTCCTCTGACATTGCAGAGGCACCAAAGCTGCTGAACAGAGCTTATCAGTTTTGGCCAGTGCAGGAGTAGGGTGGTGCTTGGCCTTCCCGTGGTATCACACAGAGGCAGAGAAGCTGCCAAGAACACCAGCCAACGCAGTAAAAGGACACCAACACTGATCTTCACATAGCACTGCAAGCAAGCAGCAACTTACAAATATGTATAGAAACACACATAAATATCAGACACTAGGGAATTTAGAGCAGTTCCACTACAGAAATGCAAATACACTTTGCCAAGCAACCTAGGATCTGAACTTTTAGATTAAAACCAACAAGCTTTCAAAAGCTATTTGAACTGAAATTCCATTTCTGCAAATGGAATTCATCCTTGGTTCAACCAAAGATTGTTTCTTTATTAAGAAAGGCAGCTGCAAGCCCAAGGAAGAGCTATTTCTAGCCCTGTGGCCCACTTCCAGCCTAAAATATAGGCATGTACCATGTTAGTCTATACATACTGTATTTTTATTACTTGCCTGCCATAGTTGAAATTCCTAGGACAACTCCAATTGACAACTCTATTTGGGTTCCCTGAAAAATAAGAGTTTTCTCATTAAGGGATTTGGAGTTAAAATACATTATATTGAATTAATTGGTGAAAGTATTGTTTACCACTTAAGACTGAAAGGATAAATGGACAGTAATTCTACTAGATTTGCAGAGCTCTTACCCTCCTAGCATGTGTATTTCCCCCTAGGACAAGAGACTACTTCTGATATTCTTTTAATTATTTATATTGTTTTATAATGGCCACCTAATGGACAAAACTGTAATTCCTATTTCTGCACACCATTTTCCCCACTGTAATTCTTAGCTGAATGCATAGCTTTGAATGCAAACTTCTACAAATACTGAGCAAATAAAACATCGTATTATAGCTCCTTACTTTTTCAGTTGAAGAAACAAAATCATAGTGAACTGTACAATGGAACAGCATTTCAAGGTCCAAAGATTGATAGACAATGTGCATGAATTAAAAGACAACACGTTCCAGTTGAATGTAGGAAAATGTTTTCCACTGTGAGAACAGTTGACTATTGGAACAGGTTGCCCAGGCAGGCTGTGGAGTGTCTGTCTTTGGATCTTCCCAAGACCCACAGGATAAAACCACAAACAACTTCGTCTGACCTTAAAGCTGACCCTACACTGCGCAGGAGGTTGGTTAGATTAGAGACCCTGAGAAAATCCCAAGCAGGAGCAAGACTAAAGACCTCCTGGGTCCTGTGGTCCCTTCCCACCTGAATTATCCCATGATTAAGATCACACTGTCAATGATAGTTCTACACAAGGAACAGTATCTTTGGCCTTTATCCATCTTCCTGTTCCACTAGCCTATTTCATCTTCCAAATGAACAGGAAAATATCTCATAGTGTTACCCAGAAATGCCAGGCTATATCAGCACAAATCAACATCAGCACTAACATTGCCTGAGAACAAAGGAACACATCAACAAAACCCCCTAAGACTATTCACCAACACATTATAATCACATTATCATCAGTCAGTACAAAAAAACATATAATATTGACTACATGATCATAAATGTGTCATGCAGAACAAATTAGGAGAAGAAAAAAGCAAACCTCAATTCAGTAAAATCAGTTACAATATTGCCCTTAGAAGGAACAACACTGCATTCTGCAAAGGCTGAATAGAGCATGGACATTTTCTTTAAAAAAAGAAAAATTAAAATAGAAATTAGTGAGTCAATACAGAGGGAACAGAGTCTTCCTGAAGCTCTCATTTACTCATGTAGTACTTGTACAATATGAATTTTACCAACTCGATCAAGGAATTAAACAATGAACTTACCGCAGCGATCATAATTGCGTTATCCAAAAATCCAAACCCTACAAAAGGTAATGCATTGTGGAAGAACACTAAAAGAAATAAGTAACAAAGAGAAAAATAAATATTTATAAGGGAGTTCACTAGTTCACACGAACTACTGAAATGTCAGTCTAATACTGCCTTTAAGAGAAACAAAGACAACAAAGAAAATCCCTTTCCTACTACTTCTATTAGTGACCTTTTTATTTCTGACAAATTTGGTAAAACCTTCTGCTACCCCTAAGTGTTACTAGTGGCTTGTGAAGAACCAGTTACAACTTACTCTGCAAACACTTGTACAATTTTGGATGGAAGCCACTTATGCCTACTACTGCATAAGAGAAATATTTAAACCTACACAAATTTTGACACTATTTATTTCTAACTGATGTTGCAGTATCAATAAAGGATTGCTAAACTGTCTCAGACTCCCCACATTCTTTTCTTGCTCGAAATAAAGCCTCTTCCTCTGAAAGTTCCTCCCTATTCCTGTGCAAGAGCTCTATCTTCTTCACACACTCCTAAAAATTCATATTTTAAGAGGAATGCTTGGAGCTAAGCAGTTGTTATCAAAGCCCCTTCAGCTTAATCTGCAAATGCTAAGGTGGTTTTCACTTGTATGTCATACAGCATTGATTATCTCACTATTCAACTCAAACTTCTGTGTCTTGATTCTGTCTGGGCACTATGCTGAGAGCAAGTTAGACTTGAAGCTGCTCCTCAATATATTAAGACATCAAATGCCACCTTGTTTCATGCATTTTTTTCCTTTTCACTCCCAAAACTCCAAGTAAACCCTATTTAAAAATATTTTCTATTGCAACAACTTTGAATATACAGGTCTGAATAATTTCTAACAAGCACAGTGTTACTCTAGCATTCCCCTTTGTCCTGCTCCATTTTCTCTTTCAAGTTTTAGCTTGTAAGTTTCTGATGGCAATAAGTGTTGAATTTGCACAGCATTGCCTCCAGCTGAGTTTCAAGGTGGTAGCATCATAACACTAAATACAGCACTGAAGACAGACTACATGACTAAAAAAACAGCCTAGGAAGTCAGAACTTCTTGGGTTTTTTAACATTTTAGATGCATCAGCTATTTAGGGTTTTTAGGTTTTTTCCCCACTTCAGGTGTGACCAATAATTCCTGTATTTTATAAACTTGAGATGCAAACATATGAAGAGGAAAAAAAGAAAAGGGCATGAACCTCAGACACGTGTGAAAAGAAACTGGTATAAGTCCCTTTTAGGTTTACCTTGTGCAGACAGCAAGAACTCACAATCATATAAAAAAAACAGAGTCACACTCAAGAGGTCTTTCATGCTCAGGTACTGGAACATGTTTGGACTTCTGTAACTACTTTGTAAGAACACACATACCGTGTTAAATGTACAGGTAAAAGACTAAAGCACAGAACGTATGAAATTTGGAAAATTATTATTCTTTTTTTAAACCATCACAGGACAAAACTCCCCAAAATGTAAATAACAAAAACACACAGATGCCTAGCATTTTCAAAATGTGTGCATCAAACTCTGGAGCTACAAAGGGAGCTCAAATTCTTACTGAAGTTGATAGAATTTAGGATTCCATGGAGTAAACAGAACACCAGGGACCAAGCAAAAAACCCAAAGAAAAATGAGTGAAGATACCTAGAATAGGAAAATGCTCAACTAAATACGTTTGCTCACTGACAGAGTTTAAAAACACAAAGATACCCTGTTTTGGAAGCTAAATCTCAATTTGAATGACTATGGTATCATAAAAAACACCAAACCTATTCCTAATTTCTCTGCAATTTTCTCCCACTTCTCACTCCACTTAAAATATATGCGATAAGAAGCAAGTCATTAGTTTTAAGCTTAAACACAACCCCCCCCACAAGGTACTGCAGCATCAACACCACTCAGCTTACAAAACATTTGCTGCTGGCTTTAAACAGCATGGTCTCATTTGGGCTTTCTGTCCTACTTTCACTAAATGGTGCACATTCTCCAGCTGAGGTGTTATGAAAATAAAGAAGGCAGGGTGACTGTTAGTTCTTGCTTTCATTTTCTGTTACTCCATATGACAGTGATGAGGACAGACCAGCACTTGTAGGAGAAAGATGAAGCAATTTAAAGACAGACGGCACAAGTACTGAACCATATTCAACAAACATTCTTCTTTTACCATGTTTCAGTTGTCCTGGAGATGGTGGTGCAACCTCCAACTTCTCTAGAGAAGTCAAAACGAAATAAGAAAGTTAGCTAGTTCATCACAAATTCAATTTATTATATTATGAAGTGTTTACCAAATTATTAACAGGCAAAAAAGCAGTTGTGTTATTTAAAGGCTTTAAAATTTGAAGAAAAATGCTTTACATCTACATTTGTATTATTTTTACAAAAGGTAACATGATATTAAAATCTAAAAAGTCTTAGAATATTACAAAACTAAACTAGTATAGTGATTATGCAAAGTAACAGCATACATTAGAAGCCACCCAACAGCCATCTTTATTACTGAAAATTAGAAAAACACACTAAAATTAGAGAAAAACAGGACATCTAATAAGAACTGCATTTTAGTATTTGTTTTTAGAGGTGCTCTAGGCAGGCATCAGACAACCTTCTTTCCTCCAGAGAAAGTCTGAAAAAAAAGAAACAAACTCTGTCTTTTATGTTCTGACAGACTAGCGTGAGAATGAATGAAAAATACTACACTAGAGACCACTGATTTCAGTAACAGCAGATCAAGTTTTGTCATTTGATGCATGTTTCAGGTATCCTGGGTTCAAACCACTAAGAGCTTGGGAGGACCAGGACGTCACTCCTGAACATGACAGAACAGTCTGTAGGAATCTAATAGAGGTGATGCACAGATTGCAGCAACAGCTACCTACTTCACAGGGACAAGGGAAAGAAAACAAGCTACATTTTTAGGCTTTTTTGTTTGTGGTTTTTTTTTTTTTTTCTTAATGTGGATATTGAGCATAAGACCCCTTTTAAAGCAGAAAAAAAGTTGCCCCTGTATCTTCCAGTATTATGAATCCTGAGCTTTTGACAAGTTGCTTCCATACTATTGATTAGGTAACTTCTATAGAAAAGGATAAAAAATGGTAAAACATGACAGGAGTCTACAACACTACTTCAAGTACTCAGATTTTACTTGGTGCACCCAAGTACATGAAAAAACAATGCTGCCAACACAGCATTTGAGTATACGTCTGAACAGCGCAGACTAGAGTGAGTATCCCTGCATCCAAGTCACTCCTATATTCAAAGCTACTGTAAAGGAGAAACTGAAATATTCACTTAAATTAACTTTTTTTTTTT